TGACCACATACAGGCCACCCAATCAAACTCCTGAGGATGACGAGGCAATGTTTAGGTAAATTACAGAGGTTGCACAAAGGGGTTGTCAAAGGGGTTGTAACCGACGTCATACATCGAAATCGTCCGACAAGGAGAGTCAAAAAGACTAACCGTCCTGCCTGTTGAGCGCGGGATATAAAGAATGAGGTAAACTGGAAGGACAAAGAATGGAGAAGGTATGCAAAATCAAAGCAACCTTTACAATATGAGCATTTTCACCAAAAGCGAAACGAGGCAAGGTCGGATATTCGCAGGTCACGGAAGGAGTATGAAACGCGAGTTATGGGACCGGCCGTTGATAAGCCAAAAGTACTCTTCTGTCGCATCAACTTCAAGCTGAAGGTCAAAGAGACGGTTTCAGTGTTGAAAGGAGAAAACAATGTGGATATCAGCGGAAATGACACTAATGTAGATCATCTTAGCAAGTTTTTCGCATCTGTTTTCACCGATGAAACGGACGTGAAGAGACTAGATTATTAACTGGACCAAATGGCGGAGTAATTGAAAACATCGTCTTCACAGAAGACGTGGAGCGCTTAATAAGTGTAAGTATCCGGGTTCGGAGCAAACACCGGCAAAGATCTAAAGGAGCTGGCCTGCGAAATCTCCAGACCGCCTTCGTATATTGTTCAGTCGTCGTTTGGTTGAGGCATTCTCCCCTCCGATTGGAAGATTGCAAATATATATTCTACTAACAAGTGTGGACATAGAAGAAATGCAAACAGTTATCGGCCGGCTAACCTGACATGCATTTGTTGCAAATTTATGGAGAGAGTAGTTTAAAAAAAGCCATTATGAAGTTACTCAAAGTAAAGAACTTTTAAATAGTGCCCAGCATGGCTTTTGAGGAAACCACTCCTGCCTGAAAATATGTTCCATTCAATGGCTCGGTTTTCCCGCTCGTCAGACGAAGGAACGAGGGTCTGCATACGCATATACGTGTGTATAGATTTGGAGGTTTACAGGCAGAGCCCTTGATGACCCTATTTATGTACAATGTTTTCGTAGATTCGCACTCAAAATAAAATTGCAAGCATTTACAATGTGATCGGGTCACATTTCAATCGTAATCATAAGGTCATTGTAATTTAGTGCGGAAGGATTGTATATTACAGTGTTTTACAAAACCGGCTGTGGGTAGTCATGCTGAAAAAGCCGACTTCTGTCGAGAAATAGACGAGCAAGTTTTCTTTTAAACATGTAAATTGTGTCAGCCATCGCCACCCCGTATGGAAGCGAGTTCCACGGTCGGACAACCCGCTGGCTGAATGAAAACATTCTACAGTCTAACCGCGTGAGCGAATTCTTGACTTTGTGGGCATGACCGCGTAATTGGTTTGTGTGGGCTAACTAAATGAAGTTCTCCGTTCTTAATGAGCAGCCTTGGCCGCGGACAATCCGGAATGCCCAGAGTAGACTGCAGTTAAGTTGTCCATTGGAGAGAGGGAATAAGCCAAGCATATTCAGCCTCTCCTGGTAAGACAAATGCTTAAAACCGTCAACCATCTTTGTCGCTCTGCGTTGCACCTGTTCGAGTAAGTCGACATCCTTCCTCGTCCATGGTGAAGCTGCTGGCATTGCATACTCCGGATGAGGTTTTACGAAGACACCAAAATGTCTCTCGAAGATTTCGGGAGGAAATGCACGTCTGATCCAGTGTAGAGTACTAGTTGCCTTCTGGACCATCTTTCTACAGTGTTCTGATGCCGATATATTTGTGGTCGTCCAAACACCCAGATCTCTGTGTCTTTCCACAGTTTCTAATCTCATCCCGTCAATATAGTATTGGTGTTTGGGAGAGGCATTTCAGCCCGTGTTCAGGTGAAGGATGACGCATGTGTACACGTTAAACTTCAAAAGCCATCTGTTCGACCAAGCACACAGTTTGTCGATGTTCGACTGCAACTTCTCTGCGTCATCATTGCATTCGACTTCACCCCATAGTTTTATGTCATCTGCGAAAATGAGGGCCTCGCAATTCACTTCGCTGATGTAGTCATTAACATAAATCAGGAAGAGTACTGGGCCTAAGACAGAACCCTGTGGGACACCACTTTCCACCTTTGCCCATCCAGACGTAGAGTTACCAATGACGATTCTTTGTACTCCGGAGGACAGAAGACTCCTGATCCACTTAAACATACATCCTTGAATTCCTACATCTCATATCTTCTGTAAAAGAAGCCTGTGCGGGGCAATGTCAAATGCCTTTGTAAAATCAAAAAATATGACATCCAATTGAAAACCCTTATCGGTAGTTCTGTTCATGTCTCGAGCGAGTAAAGAACATTCGTTGGGCAGGAGCGCCCTGGACGAAGACCATATTCGGCAGCACACAATATTTTGTTTTTTTTCCAGATATTTCATCAAGTGTCTTTTGATAATGCGTTCCATTATTTTACACGCGATGCAATTAAGACTGACTGGACGATAATTTCCGCAGTCAAGTCTTGATCCTCCTTTATGGATCGGAGTAATGAGTGCGCACTTCCATTTTCCCGGGAACTGGCCGTCCTAAAATGAATTTCAAAATATTGCGGATAATGGTTTGCACAATTCATTAGCAAGTTCTCTAAGTGCTATTGCGGGAATTCTATCTGGGCCAAACGATTTGGCAGGTTTCAGCAGGAGTAGCTCAGCCCAAACTATGGGCGATGAAAAGAGTGGTTCCTCGGTTAAGAAGGGTAGGGGGGTAGGAGGGGGAAGGGTACTAGGAGGAGAGGCAGGTTGGCGAGCGGATTGATGGGTAAATAGAGAATTAGATTCTCGGGTGAAGACGGACTGAAGGAATTTAGAAAGGAGGGACGCTTTAACCAGGTTACCAGTCGCCATTTTTCCATCTGCACACCCAAGGGTAGGGATCAGCTGCTGAGTCCTTTTAGTACTTTGTTTATAACCACATAGAATTTTCGGATGCTCCGACGAATTTCGAAGTATGTTCAGTTCGAACTTCCTTCGTAGCTTTGAGACCTCACTTTTACAAACGTTTTGATGCTGCTTATATTTCCGTAAGTGTTTTTCGGAGCCAGTTAGTCTGTAATGCCTCCACAGAAGACTCCTTTTTCTGAGAGAGGCCTTTAAGTACGGGTTTATCCGTTCTGGGCGGTTTGTGCTTGTCTTTCTTCAGAGAGGACAATTGGAATAAGCAAGCTCTTTCAGTGAGGAACTGAAAGTATTTCAGTTGCCATTTTCCCTACTATGAAGTTCAGTCTCCCATGATACAGCTACTACTTCCCTCCTCATGAGAGAATAGTCCTCCTTCCAAATGTTTCTCTCCAACCTATCTGGTTGGACGGGTTTGAAAAACAGTGAATACTTGAAGTAGAGCGTGATGTGGTCGCTTGACCTTAATGTCGGTCGGTCCTGCAGGTATAACACATTTTCCTCTCGGCAAAAATAAGATCAAGGCAGTTCGACTGCTGTCCTTGCCGGGCCCGCGTTCCAAAGGTAACATTCCGGCAGAGAAATTTGTCCGCTTCCCACTGTAGTGTTTGTGATTAAAGCTGTTTTGCGGCCCTTGTGTAGTCTACGTTAGCCAATCAATGCCAGGAGCGTTCAAATCCCCAACGATAAGGACACCTTTCTTCCCATTGTTTTTGTTATGTTCAGGTACGAGCATGAGATCTTGGTCGGAAGTTTGCTTCGGTGAACGGTACACCACCGAAAGCTTCAGTGGTCGGACATTCTTAGGAGGTATGGTAACGCTTAGCAGTTCCACATCCCGTACCAGACTATGTGCATCAGCCACAGTGGTCAGCTTGCAAGTGACATCAATTATGACTCCTCCTCCTTGGCTTGGTCTGCCTCTCCTGAATAGCTGATATCCTCTAAGTGATATTTCTAAATCTGCGACGTCTTCAGCAGGCCGGGCTTCTGTGAAGGCCATAATTTGTGGCTACATTTCATAAACTAAGTCTCTTAGTTCGTCTAGTGTTTTGAAGAGGCTTTGCACATTGCGAAGATAACCCTCGATGAATGTTTCGTTGGAAGGCCCTGCTATCCTTGTGACAGGCTCCGACCACAGGAAAGATCCCTTTTTCTGGAGTATTTGTTCATTTTTAATCTTCAGGTCTTTCTGTCCTCTGCTAATCCTCTCCTTCAATTTTGACCTCAATTCTCTCATTTTCAGTCTTTCCCTCGGTTCGTAGTCTAGTTGAAAAAGCACTTCCTTGTGCGAATTGCGTAAGGTCGTTCTACTGTCTACAGTAATTTGTAGGCGTCTTGGGGACGTCTAAAGGTCACGGTCTGGGTTCGCTTTCTCTAGTCAGAAAGCATTTAACGGTGACTATTTCCCCATCATTCAGGACAACACTGGAGTACTGATGACGATAGTCTAAATTCAGCGTCACTCGTTCCTTCGGAATTCAGGTCGTGGACTATGGGGCGCCCTTATCACAATATTTTGCTAACGATTTATGGAAGAGCTCATTAATGTCCCGTCCGCGCTAGGACGATATAATGCTACTGTAGTATTCGCGACGGATGTTGACACTTCGAAATTTGACTGATTTTCGACCGGCGAGGGGGGTATAGGGCATGGATTTTATTTAGTTTAATTTATTAAATGCCAGTTTACAGCCATTGTCAAGGGAAGCGATTAAACACAAATCCAACCAGCAGTGAAAAAAAAACTCCTGAGGATTAAAAATATGGTTGATGGTGGTTTTTATGGTTTGGAGGGCTCAGGAGAAAAAAACTGCTGGTGGAGAATAAAACTGCTATAACTGCTTGCTCAGGCAGTGGGATTTTACAATCATTACTCTGATGCCATGTACTTTAAGAAGGCTCAGTTCAGTTCAGTTTATTGAGGGAAATAGGCGTAAGCCTTTGAGAACCCTATTTGCAACGTAAAAAAATGTGTGGTGTACAGATAGATGTTCTGGGCTGAAATAGTTCGAACACGCCCATAATGGTGGGACAAAATGAGAAGGAGTTACAGGGGTGAGCTCGACTTCTCATCGCTATTGGTCATTTCGGAACATAAATATGTCCAGATTCTTCTTAAAAATTTGTATAGATAGTGATATCACAACATCTGCGGGAAGCTCATTCCATGGTTTGACCACCCGAACCGAGAAGGAGAACTTCCGCACATCCAGCCGTGCCTGCTGTTTGCGCAGTTTTAACGGGTGACCGCGGAGATTGGCCGTGGTAGCAAATTCAAAAAAGTCCTCGAAGGCCAGACTGCAATCCAACCCCTTTACAATGCGGAAGGCTTGCAAGAGATCTCCGCGAAGTTGCCTGTAACTAAAAGGAAAGAGGTTCAGATTTACTAGGCGGGTTGCATAAGGAAAGGAGCTTTGACCCCTAACCATCTTCGTGGCTCTCCTCTGGACTCTTTCGAGGCAGTTTTGATCCTCAACAGCCCACGGCCTCCAAGCTTGTATGCCGTACTCTAAATGCGGCCAGACGAATGTTCCGAATGTCTTAGAGAAAGCTTCTTCGTCAAAGTCCATAAACGCACGCTTGATGACGTACAGTACGGACATTGCGGTTTTTGCCACTCTCGAACAGTGGGCGGATGGTTTTAGGCAACTCGTCGTAAGCACACCGAGGTCCTTTTGGGCTTCGACCTCTTGTAGGGCTGCACCGCCCAGAAAGTAGCCTCTTGTGCTGGTGGATCTGGCTGTGTTGCCTAGGCGAAGTATGCTACATTTGGCAACGTTGAACCGCAGGAGCCAACGGCTTGACCACTCCTCCAACCGATTCAGGTTCATCTGCAGTCTGTCTTCGTCGGCAGGACCCCGAATTACACTCCATATCTTCATGTCATCCGCAAACATTGCTACTTCACAGTCTAAATCTCTTGCGGCATCGTCCACGTAGATAAGGAACAAAATGGGTCCCAGAACTGAACCCTGGGGGACACCACTATCGACCATAGCCGGATCTGATTTTCCCCGACCGACGCACACAACCTGGTGTCGACCCACAAGGAAGTTTTCGATCCATTTAAGGAAGTTGCCACCGATCCCTATTTTTTTCAGCTAATGTAAGAGTCTTTGGTGTGGCACAGTGTCGAAAGCCTTCTGGAAGTCGATGAAGGCTATGTGGACCGCCTGCCTGTCGTCGAGAGCTTGGGTCCAGCACTGGAGAGATTGCAGCAGGTTTGTCGTGCAGGATCTTCCTTTTCGGAATCCATGTTGGCATTTCGATAGCAGGCCGTGAACTTCCAGGAATTGCATCAGTTCACTCTTTATGATCCTTTCCATAACTTTGCAGAGAATGCATGTCAAGCTTATGGGCCGGTAATTTGTCGTCGCTGCCATGTTACCTCCTTTGTGTAGCGGAGTAATATGCGCCAGATTCCAATCGACAGGAAGTGTTCCAGTGTCAAATGACGTTTGAAAGAGCATCGACAAAGGCACAGAGAGCTTACCGGCAAGCTCCTTCAGAAGCTTGGATGGAATCTCGTCTTGTCCCGGCGACTTCGATTCGTTCAATGCCTCTAATTCTATTCGGACAATGCCTTCTGAGAAGAGTACATCACTGACGCTTGGAGTCGGCAGTTCTTCTGTGGAGGGAGGAAGGAACCTTGCCTCGTTTGTGTAGACTGATTGGAAAAACCGTGAAAAATACGCAGCTTTATCCCTACTATCAGCGATCTCATCGCCATCAGTAGTTTTTATCAAAGGGATTTGATGCCTGTTCCTTGTACTTCGTCAGAGGTAGCTGTAGAGCAATTTTGGGTTCTGCGTTGCTTTTTGTAGCAAGTTCTTCTCGAATTCCCGCCGAGTCTGCATTATCAGCTTCCTCAGTTTGTTCCTCTGTGTCTTGTAGGTGTTGAAGCATTCAGCTTGTCTAGTGACGCAGTATTTTCTCCACAAATTGTGCTTCCTGTTGATTTCTTTCTTAAGGTTGCTATTTAGCAACCCAGGGCGTTTGTTCAGTCTTAGACTAGTCAGTGGGCAGTGGTTGTTGATGAGCTGCAGAAGGACATTCTTCAACAGCTCCCAGTCATCGTTGGCATTTACTGTAAACAATGAACCCCAGTCGAGACCGGATAAGTTTGCCCTCATCTGATTGAAGTCGCCCCGCCAAACATTACGTCTTTTGTGGTCTGGAGTATGTGAAATGGAGAATAACGAATAATTCACATAAGCACTACGTGGTCACTTCTGTCAAGGGACGACATGGAGGTGAGCTCGTCTATGCTGTTTGGTGTTTTCACAAAGACCAGATCCAGGCAGTTTGCCATGTGTCCTTCACGTGTTCTCGTTGGGAACATTACATGTTGTGTGAGGCACGCATTTAATGTTTTGCTCAACAGGCGGTAATCGAATGCCGATTTTGGACATGACGCTTGGAGGGTATTCCAGTTTGTTCCTGGTGCGTTGAAGTCGCCCATGATCATGATGTTAGGTCGACTGGAAAATTTCTCCAACTGCTCCAAGAGTTGAGTGTCGGCGATATGGTCTGTTCTAGGTGGTCGGTAGACAGTGAGGACATCGAGACACGGGGAACCGGTAGCCTTGATGGTCAACCAGATAGCTTCCGTACTGCACGCAAACTTGGTGGTGTTTTCCGACACTGCCAGACCTTCATTCGCATACACAACGATACCACCACCCTGATGATGTTCCCAGTCCCTCCGATAAATTTGGTATCCAGGCGAGGCTACTTCGTTATCGCTAATATTCCCGGACAGCCAGGTCTCAGTTACTGCTAAAACATCTGGAGACAGCTCGGCAAGGCAAAGTTTTAGCTCGTCTAGTTTCGATATGAGGCTTTGGGCATTCGTGTACAAGCACCTCAGTTTTGCACCAGCCGAATGTCCCGTTGCATTTGTTACTGCTGTGAGCATTACTCCGTTATCTCGAACGCCATTTTCTCTGGGCTGATGGGTTCCATTTTTATGCGTTGCTTCAATCAGATCACTGGACATTACGCGCTTACTTGTGTTGCCGCCTTGAGCAGGTGGTTTAACGAAGGTATTTGTGTTAGCTGAGTTGCTGCCGTCGTTCTTAGTATTACAGGCTGGTTCCACTGAAACGGCATATATTTCCGAAATACCTTCCCCTTGAAGATAGCCAGATTGTGTTCGCCACCCTTCAGTCTTGATTTTAACTTCAAGACAAGTTCCCGGCTTTTCAACCTTTCCGCTGGTGAATAGTCCGGTTGAAAAAGAAACTGGTTAAGGGACTTTCTGGCCGGCCGTTCACAGTCTATGTGTATTGGAGTACGAAGTCAACGCCAGTGCCAGCTGTGAGCGGAGTTCCCCAGGACTCTATGCTCTAACCAGTACTCTTTTAATTTATGTCAACGACTGTTTGAATGGACTGGACTGCAATGGAGCCATATCTGCCGATGACACCAAGTTATCACGAGCGATCAACGGGGAAAATGATGAACGGACCCTGCAGGAAGGACTGAATCGCATATGCGAATGGTCCGACAAATGCCTACTTGACTACCAGGCTCACGTAATTCCGAGGCTAATTACGTGGGCCTGGCAGTCGTCAGGTGGATTCCAGATGTATTACTTAAGAAATCCTGCTTAGGCAGTCAACTAACTGTATCAGATTTGGTGTATTCCAGATGTTGCAGTAGGTTGGGCGGGTAATCACGACCCAAATGTGATTAAATGCTCGTCGTCCGATGAGGCCTCGTACCTCAGACGGTTAGAGCGTTGGCTGTACTAAAGCCTCTCTTTGCTATCATAAGTTCGAATTTCACCCAGACACCGAGTTTTTCACAGTTGGTTAGAACTGAAAGCCGCTTAAGTCCCTCTTTTCCTGAAAACAACGCAATTCCCCACATCTGGCTTCGCCTTATTCTATTGGACGCAATGTCAATTTTTCCTTTTCAGAAAACACTTAAAACTTTTCTTGCACATAAAAGTGCTCGTTTATAGCATAATGCGCACACATGTGACTTTTTGCCAATGAATTTCGGTAGCATAAGAAATGGTCTGTATGTCAAGAAAGATTGGATTTCGTCCAAATCCGGCCTGTTTTTTCAGAAAAAAGACCTGAAAGGACTTCTTTTCTAGTAAATAGCTTTCTGCGCTTCGAATCAATATGACAAACTTAAATGACAATACCAGACGCACTACTCACACAAAATGCAATCACATTTCACGATTTGGGCCACCTACTTTAGGTTCTTAATGGTGGAGCACTGAACCATAGGGTGCCTTGAAAAGTTACGGGTCTAGGTAGTTTCTCAGGTCCAAAACACATATAGAACATTTATGGGGTGAATGAGAATTCGATCACCCATGTTAATCCCCGTTAGGCAATCGCAAGCAAACCAAACAGAGTTGTTCCAAGCAATACCGACCCATTGATTTTAAAGAAGAATATATGCATTGAGATCATCAGTGTATATAAAAGACTGGGCGTACCAGACTGCGATGAATTAACATTAATGCGAGGCAAAACAAAACAGGACCCAACACGGTATTCTGAAGGGCACCACTTATAATAAGGTCTTCATGTGAAAACGGCAGCACAATTATGGCCGTTTGTTTTCGATCAGATATTTTTGACTTCATGAAGTCAATAGGGAGACTGAAAAGTTCTAGAGGCTCTATTTTATTTTAGAATTGTTTGTTTGGCCCTTCATCAAATATTTTGCTAGGATCAAACCAAATAACAACCACGGATAGGTACTAATTACGAAGAGAAATCAATAAATTAAGAAAAACCTGCGGCCCTTTCCACAAAAATAATCTGACAAAAGACCATGCCGAGGAGAGTTAAGAGTCCAGGTGGATACTCAAGAGCGAATAATTAAGATCGCGATTAGTTTTTCTATCAATGTTCCTAGAAAGGACGTTTTATAAACATCTGCAAAATTTCTAAAGTTAGAAAAGGAGCCAGATTTAAAAAGTGGAATTGTGGCAATTTTTTCAGTAATCGTATACAAATAAGTACCTTGGAGGTCTGGGATAAATTTGTCCAACGAAGGCGGAGAATCCATTTTTTATTTAATAAGGGGACCCGAGATGTTGTCAGTTCTAGCTGACTGTGAGTTATTAGGCTGGTTAATTCGTTTCTGAAAACTTACAAGGAAAACCTAACGGGGGTGAGGATATGGCCAGCCTACAAGGCTAAAATTCAACAATTCTCCTTTGCCCAACGTCCCCGTTACGAACTTATTAATATAATTAAGAAAAGGCGATGTGAGTCGGTGATGCTCATTCAACGATTTGAGATACAAGATCTGGTCAAAAGGTCTGGAATGAATTGCATTTATCAGAGCCACAAATTCCTTTTGTACATCTTAAAGAGGCCTAACTTTCCAAACCAATACGAATTCTGACCATCTTTAAGTAAACCGAAAAGGAGTTTTATCTACTTTCGCAAATTTTTGAGTCTGGTTGCAAGAAATTGACGAGTAGTTGGAGAAGCAGAATTGGAGTTAAACATTTTCAGCTGAATGGATTAGAGGAGGCCTTCTGCGGTTAATAGGGGAAAAAATTCAGGTCACTATTCGAAAAGTTGTTGTGTTTGAAAAGTTATTTACTGAGTCCATACTATCACGAGCAAACTCGAGGTAACTGCGTCCTGCCGCTGGCTTTAGGGAAAGAGAAATTAGAAGACATTATAAATCAACGCACAACGACCTTTTAAAAGATTTTAATCGAAACTGATTAATAAAAGGTGGGTGCCATCAGTGAAAACTAAATCGGACATATTACTGTCCCCGGTCGCCGAGTAAATCAGATGTGAAAAGTGGATAGTATTCGCAAAAGCATGTAGGAGAAGTATTTGCACGCTAGTCAGGTTCAACAAAAAGTCACTTAGGTTTGTTTCTACATCAATTGGGGTGTCTGCAACCCTCAAAGAGAGCTCATGGAGTTCATTTTTATTAATAAATAAATGAGGAGGATTATTTACACAATAAGTGAACCAAAACATCTCTCGGAAAGGGTGAAACGTTTAGATTACAAAACAAATGTAAAGGCGAGAGTTAAACATGAGAAGACAATCTCCGCTTCTTTTCTTGCTAATGTGGTTCATCAAATTCATTTAAAAATTGCGAAATAATTTCTGTTGTACATGCGCTCCGAGGAGAAGTACTGTTTTGTCACTGCGTACTATGCGGGAAAATGTGCTAAAAATACCCTAGCACCTTTGCATGATATACAGCCAAGCCAGCCGACAAATTTCCTCTGTTCATATGATCACCAGAATTTTTTAACCGGCCACAAAGGTTCGGCTTGACGTTCGTATATTTTTGCTCTTTAATCGAAGACGTTGCTCTCATCGAGGAATGCAACATTTACAGTTATGCACTGAAGCTGCAGAAACATGAAAAACAGTGATAAAGAATTTTAGAACGTTTCTACGTTGTAACCCACTACTGATTGCCATTTCCGTTTTAACAGCTTAAAAAGTTATGGTCAATTTGGTTACCAGGCCTCGTGTCGGCTACAGAAAGGTAATCATATTAATGCACTTGAAGCTATTCAGCTCCACGCCAACAAACCACTGGCGTAGTTGGAGGTCATTCTCGGAGGAGGTAAATTAGGACCATGCTTTCCCTGTTTCACGATGGGCTCGTGGGAGGGCTCAAACCGTTGGAAAAACGAAAAATTGCCCCAAAGATCTTTTTTCCGTTATTCTCAGCCATCCAGTTGCTCGAGCCTAGTATATCGTCGGTAAGTTGACTAGCTCAAGCATTTCATTATTCGGACGAAAAGAAATTTCCCGTAGGAGACAATCACTAAAATGTCTAAAGACCACTTGAAATCTAACACACTGTTATATTTTAAAGAGCCCACTTTGTCAGCAGTGTGCCAAACATGCAATTAATGCAGTTCTATTTAAAACCTGACTAGTACTGGCCTGCGCACGCCGGAACGTATCGATCCACGTTGCATGCCGCGACACACACTAGCATGCGGCCGATTTGTTGAGGCGATTTGCTGGTGTGCGTTTGGGTCGTTGTGACCGGACAAATTTGATTTATTTTCATTGTGTTTGAACATTCCGTTTGTGACGATTATTCGGCAATGGGGGCAAATGAAAGCAACTTTAGTTCACTGAGTGGGAAGAGCCGGTTGTCCTCCGTAACTTACTATCCCCCAGCCAGGTTGATCCATTCCTCACTTCTGCCCTTGTCAAGTCGCAACCAGTTCATCGGCCAGGACACCCATACAAGAAGGCTTTACAAAATCTGCAGCGGGCATAATTCTACTCCAGGAGACTGGTACACTTCATGCAACGGGAGATACAAATGCGACCAGACAGACACTGTGGGGACTTTCGGAAGAGACACCCTGTCACAAGCGACCTTCAGATCACAGACTATTAACACGCGTCTTGAGAGTCGGTCTAAGAGTAAACGGTCCGGTCCGTTGCAGGCTCAAAAAGAACTGGCCATCACGAAGGTAGCAGACGACTCAGACTACTCATCCATCTCCACACTCATTTCTTCATCGAGCTCAGGTTCCAGTCTTGACGCAGAGACCTTTATTCAGCGTATCCGTGACAAGACAAGACGGAAAGTCAAAACAATCTTAAAGACAACAACACCTCCCTGTTTATCGTCAGCAACTTCGGTTTCTTCCGACTCCACTGAAGCTGACTTCCAGATGGCTCTGCGAAGTCTGCTTAAATCATCTCTGAAGTCGGTCGCCCCTGACGCAAAAGAAACAACTCGGCAGGGGGAGGCGAAAAAGGACATCTTGGAGTGTACTGAACAAGAAAGGAGTGAGAGGACTGGTTGTGAATCACATCAACTTTCACAGACGACTGCGACTAGGGAAACATTTGGTAAATCATTAGAAGAGGAAGGTGACTGCTCAATGGAGACCTCGACATCTCACTCACTTCTTGGGTTTTCAACAGGCCC